GTCACATGAATTATGGTCAGGAGGACTCATTAATGATTCCCTTGAATATGGAGTGGTTTAAAAAAAGTGTCTTCTGTCATTTACACACTTGTATTTTATTTCCTTTTTTATTTTTTTTTATCACCCCTTTTCAAATTTACATTCTAAATTCTATTATTTCTATTAAATAATCCCTCGTTCTCTCCAGGAAAATAGCGAACAGACATAAAATTTCAGCAAATATTTATATATTACGAATAATGAGAAAAGTTTCATGTCCCTGTTGTATAGTTAAGAAAGAGTTTTCATCGAGTTTGAAAAAAGTTTTTAAGGAGAGCTTGGAAAAAGGTAGAGATTAAAAAAAAAACTTTTCCCCAAATCATGGGTGACGAAAAATAATGTTATGGCAATTATCTGAAAATTGGCATCATTTTATTTGATAAATCTTTTGAATTGAAACTTGTTTTCTAGAAAATAAAATTAAATTCTTGAGGGTAAGAAAAAAGTTTTTAAATGTATTTTTAATCATAAGTTTTTAGTTAAGTAAATTTTTTTTATAAAGAAAAATTAATTTTAATTATGATGCGTGGTTTTGGGATTTAAGTTATTCAACCGACCTCAAAAGGCAGTTTCCAATAAATGACTTTATATTTTCTCTTTAAGCGTATATTCGTGCTTATGCATATGCAAAATTTACATCATTTACTACTTACACTCAATATTCTTGGCAAACTTCTCCATTGATACTAAAAGATATAATAATTTCTATATAATTTACTATGTTAAACTGAAGTAAATACATTTATATAAAATTACAAAATCGTCCAAACAAAAATTTTATAAATGGCCCATTAATTTTTCTAATTAAAAAGATAAAACTAAATAAAATGTACATATAAATATACAAAGTATTTTTTATAATCAGTAGAGGAAAATAATATAAATAAATATTAATAAAAAATAAATAAAAAATAGTTAATAAAACTTTTAAAAATTAAATTTTTTTTTGTCAAATTAAAAAGAATTATGCATTAATTTCACGAAAAAAAATTTTCTAATGACATTTTATTTTCTAAAGAAATAAAAATAAATTTCAGGTTTACGCTGTTTGATCCCTCTAATGAAAAGATAATTTGAAGAAAATGCAGCAAACAAGTGGAATAAATTTTCTATGAATTTCTTCGTTGAATAAATGACAAACTCAAAGAAGTTCCTTCGCAAAAAGGATTTACATCAAAAAAGACTTGAGAATTTAAGATATAATATATGTATATATATATATGAGTTTATAAATTCAAATTTTCGATATTTCATAAAAGATGAAAATATATATTCTTCACAAAAGAGACATTTATCACTGGCTAATAAATTTTATAGACTTTCGTTATTATTTAAATATCTGAAAAATAGGAGATTTTATTGTCGTAATATTTTTATGATCTAGAAGAGAAAAAATATTTTTAGTTTTTGACTATTTTATTTCAGTTTTAATTTTTTTTAAATTTTCCTTTAATTTATTTATTATTAGCAGAAGAAATAAAAAATTGAAAATTAAAAAAATATTTAAACATAAAAATTTATTTATAATCAGTAGAAGAATAAAAAAATTGAGAATTAGAAAAATATTTGAAAACAAGAAAATAATATTAAAATCAGTAGAAGCAACAAAAAATTAAGAATTAGAAAAATATTTAAACATGAAAATTTATTTATAATCAGTAGAAGAAACAAAAAATTAAGAATTAAAAAAATATTTTAACATAAAAATTTATTTATCATCAGTAGAAGAAACAAAAAATTGAGAATTAAAAAAAAATTATTATTATTATTATTTTAATATTGTTATTATTTAATTTGTCTTTTCAGTTTTATTTTTTGTTTTTTTTACTATTTTCTATTTTTATTTTTTTTTATTATTTCTATTTTATTTTATGCTTCTTTTATGTTAGTTTCTATTTAATTTTTTATTTTGACATTTAGAAAGAAATTTTTGTTGGAAATAAAGTGTTTTAAAAATTATTATTACAGAAAGATTATTCAAAAATTCATTTTCTGTGGGTTATTTAAGAAACGTCGTGAAATGGAATACTTTAGTGGGATATATATTAAGTTTTTATTTTTATTTCTTTTCCTTGAGAGGCGAAAAAATACACTTGAAACTGAAAAGTAATGACAGTAAAAGCTGAAAAAGGACAATTTCGTATTTTATAGTATCAATGAGAGTCTCGTAAAAAAGGGCAGAAGATATTTTAGACAAATTTTCTTATTATTTCTTAGTAATAAAAGTGAAAAGAAATTCTTAATTAATAAAAATAAAAAAAATTAAAAGCAAAAAGTAATAAAAAAATAATAAAAAATAAAATCAAAAAATGGTAATAATAAAATAATAAGAAAAAATAATAATAAAAATTATTATAGTAAAATTTGTTAATAAGTAAAATAAAAAGTTAAAAAAAAAAAAAAAAAAACTTATTAAAAAGTATATTATTATATTATATTATAATATTATTATTATTATTATTATTTATATTATTATATTATTCTTATTAAAAAGTTAATAAGAAAACTGAAAAATTTTTAAAAATACAATAGTATAATATAATTATTAATAATAAAACATATAATTATTTTCAATAAAAATTAAAAAGATTAATTATTATAATAATAGAAAGTATAATTATCACTGTAAATAGTTGTGAGTAATTTAATATTCGAAATTTTATTTTTAAAAAATAATTCTGCAAATAATAAAATATATATGAAAAAAATTATTATGAAATACTGCATAATTATGTATATTTGGTGTGGGGATGAGAAGCTTCCTAAACATTGTTCATTATTGTTCTCTCTCTCCTTCTCCCCATCCTCATCACTCCTGCCTATGTCGGTCAGTGATGCACTACATATTAATTTTTTTTATTTTTGTTTTTCAAGAAAAAAAATACAAAATTAATAGAAAATAACTTAAACGACTGCATTTAACTATTTTAATAATAAAACAGACAAAAGAAAACAGTTTTTTTTATCTAACTATAAAGTTTAGATTTATAATCAGTAGAAGAAAATAATTTTTTTTAAACAATAGACAAAAATATTTTGAAAAACAAAAAAAAAATAAACTAAAAGAAACAATTAATAAAAAGTTAATAAATCAATTTCATTCATAAAAATGAAAAAATGGAAAAGTTAACAAATTTTTAATCAAACAGTAAAAGGAAAGATTTTTTAATCTGAAGAAGGAAATAAATTAATAAATTACATTTTCGTTCTTAATAAAGTAGAAAATGAAATTTCATACCTACATACAATTATTTTTCAATTAAAAAGTAAAAACCAATTTTGTGATAAATGAAATTAAATCAACAACTTTTGTTAAAAACAATAAAAAAAGAAAAGAATTAAAATTTGTATTACCAATTATACAGTGAAAAACAGTTTTTAATCAGTAGAAAAAAATAGAAATAAAAAAGAATAATAAAATCGAATAAAATGATAAAAAATAATAAAAAGTAAAAATAAACAAACAATAACAAATAAATCAAAATAAAGTAATTGAAAAATTTAAATAAATTGTAAATTTGTTTTCAACCAATAAGAACAATTGTTTCCAATTTTTAATTAATTCAGTTTATTCTTAATTTTTAAATTAAAAAAATTGTATTATTGAAATTTGATAAATTAAAATAATTGTGTTATCAAAATTTTAAAATTAAAAATAATTTTTGTTTTTTAAATTGCTAACTTCTTTTATAAATATAATTGTAATATTAAAATTTTTTAACTAAAAATATTGTTTTTTTAAAATGAAGATTGCTAACTTCTTTTACCTATAATAAAAATAATTCTAGTATTAAAATTTTAAAATTAAGAATAAAACAATTGTATTATAAATTTCAAAAAAAAAAAAATTTTATATTAATTTCAAACATCCGTATTATTAGTTTAATTAAAAATAATTGTCTTTTGAAAGGAAAAATAAATGTCAATTATTTTATTGATCAGTGTAAATGTTGATAATTAAACAGTACAATATCGTTAACACATTTTGAGAACAATTGAATTTTAATATTAAAAGCAAAATTTAATTTGAAATAAATCTGTTTACGTAAAATTAAACAAAAAACTACCCAGGTAATTAATAAATAAATTAATTAATAAAAGAAATGAATAAATAAAAATTTATAAATAAATAAATAAATAAAAATTAATAAATAAATTAATAAAAATTAATAAAAAAATAAATAAAAATTAATAAAAAAATTAGTAAAAATTAATAAAAAATACGTTCTTTTATCAGTAGAAGAAAATTTACTCAAACTTGTCTAAAATTTTAATTTAAACAAAAAATAAATTTTATTATCAATAGAAAAAAATTTAATTTAAACGAAAAATTAGTTTTATTATCAGTATTTATACATAGAAGAAAAATTAACAGAAACATGAATGAAAATTTTAATTTAAAATATTAATCAATTTACACAAGAAAAAGAAAGGCTACAGAAAAAATACTGAAAGGAGGTTACAAAAAAAAATTGTATCTTCTAAAAGCGAGGACAAATTTCTTTTTTTACAAAAAACTTTTTTTCACATCTTTTCAAAGAAATTGGAGAAAAAAATTTTTCTCTGCTAGCTTTTCACAGAGCTTTCATGCCATAGATTATATATAATATAAGAAAATGCCAACAGCTAACTTTAAATTAACTATAATAAAAAATCAGTTTTCCCTTTGAGACGTTAGGGGAAAATTTTTCTTTACAAAATTAATTTTTTCTTAAATTAAAAATTTCTGTATAGACAAAATTTTTTTAAATTTTTTTTCTTAAATAATAAATAATAAATAATAAATAATAAATAATAAATAATAAATAATAAATAATAAATAATAAATAATAAATAATAATAAATCTATTTATTTTACTGTCTAAAATAATACTATTTTATTATCTAAATAATATTGTTTTATTATCTAAATAATTTTATTTCATTCTCTAAATAATATTATATTCTTTTTCTTGTTTCAGATAGCAAAATTGTTCTCCTTTACTTGGGAAATGGGTCTTTTCTTATGCAAAGCAGTGCACTACATGCAAAGTGTTTCTGCAATATGCTCAGTATTGACCCTCACAGCAATGTCCGTTGAAAGGTAATTTCTTTTTATGTATTAAATCAAAAACGCGATAGCAAGTTCCCATAAATCTTCTATTTTTAGTACTTTCTTTTTTATTTTCTAACTTATCTCCTTTTTCTTCCCTTCATTTTTTGAATTTTTATTACTTTTCCATTTTCATATTTAATTTATTGCTTTATTCACAATTTAGTCGATTTTAATATTTATTTAATTTTCCCTATAAACTAGTTTTAAAATTTTTAATATTTTTTAAAATTATTTTTTTTTTCAATTTTAATATTTATTTAATTTTCCCTATAAACTAGTTTTAAAATTTTTAATATTTTTCAAAATTATTTTTTTCAATTTTAATATTTATTTAATTCTCCCCATAAACTATTATTTTTTAATTTGTAATATTTTTTAAAATTATTTCTTCAATTTTAGTAATTATTTTTCTAATTTATAAATTACTTTTTATTTCGTAATATTTTTTGTCCTAAAGCAAAAGGGAATTATTTTCTCATAAACCAAGAGGATTCAAGAACTAAAAAAAATTATTGTTTAAACTAAACGCAAAAATTTTCCTTAATGTTCTTAATTCTTTAATTTCTTCATGTTTATAATAATTAATAATTATTATTGAGTGATAAAATCATTATTTTATATTTCATAAGAATATTGATACTGTAACTTCTAGAAAATTATTTTTATTTTTTCAATTCAATTATTATTTTCTAGAATTCTTAACTGAAATCTATATTAATTTTTTTCTAAATAAATTATTTTTTAATAATTTTTGAAAAAGTTTTTTGAGAATTTTCAAATTCATTTAAATGTAATTCAATTTTACTTGAAATTTTTTGATTATTCGGAAACTCTTCAATTAAATTTATATTAGAAAATAAAAACTTCAAATAATTTCAAAAAAAAAATTTAAATAAACTTTTCGAAAAAAAAAACATTAATTCTACAGAATTGTCAGTTAAAGGTATGAAGAATTCAAATTTCCAAAGATTTTAATTTGAAACCTTTTTAAAATTCAAATATTTTTAAAAATTAACATCACGACCAAATTCAATAAAAATTTTTAAGAATAATTACATTTTTTGAGGAATTTGATTTAAATTGTATTAAAAATATTAAAAATTCTGCAATGAGTTTTATTATGAAAATAATTGAATTATTGCAAAGAAATTTATGAAAAAATTTATTAATTGAATTCATGTGAAATTTTTTTTTTAATAATTAAATGTTTGCCTAGAATTTTATATCAAAATTTTTTTTAAATAATTGCCTTTTTTGGAAAACTTTATTAAAATAGTAAATATTAAAAATCATAGAATTTAGAAAATTATTAGAAAATAATTGAAATTTGGACAAGAATTTAATTAAAATTTTTTAAAATAATTGAATTTCTGCGACAAATTTTGTTATTAATGAAAATAATTGAATTTTTGTGTTGAATTTTATTGAAATTTTTAAAAATAATTGAATTTCTGTGAAAAATTTTGTTATTTATGAAAATAATTGAATTTCTGCGACAAAATTTGTTATTAATGAAAATAATTGAATTTTTTTTCTTAATTTTATTACAATTTTTGATAATAATTGAATTACATTTATTTAAATAATTGAATTTCTGTAAAAATTTTGTTATTAATGAAAATAATTGAATTCTTGTGTTTAATTTTATTGAAAAATTTAATTAAAATTCTAAAAAAAAAATTTAATTCTTAAAAAAATTATTATGAATTTGGAAAATAATTGAAATATTGTTGAGAATTTTGTTAAATTTTCGAAAATAATTGAATTTCTTCATGGAATTTAATTAAAATTAAATTGAAAATATTTCTATTCGCATAAATAATTTAATAACTAAATTTTTTAAAATAATTTAATTTTTTTTTTTTTGAGAAATTTAATTGAAATAATTGTATTGAAAATAATTGAATTTCAGTGAAGAATATTGTTATTTATGAAAATAATTGAATTTTAATTCAAATTGTATTAAAATTTTTTAAAAATAATTGAATTTCTGCAACAAATTTTGTTATTAATGAAAATAATTGAATTGCTGTGAAGTATATTGTTATTAATAAAAATAATTGAATTTTCCATTTAAATTGAATTAAAATTTTTGAAAATAATTGAATTCCTAAAAAAAATGTTTATTATTTATGAAAATAATTGAATTTCAGAGAAGAATTTTATTACTAATGAAAATAATTAAATTATTGACAAAAAATTTATTTAAAAAATTGTAAATAATTGAATTCCTATGAAATTTACATGTTTGCGTAGGAATTTTCTTGAAATTTTTATTAAATAATTAAATTATTTTATTTATAATTTTTGAATTTATTAAATTTGTTAATTTAATTTTAATTTAAAATATTTTATTTATTTTCTTCTAAAATTGTTAATAGTCCGATTTATATCTCTCTTTAAAAAGAAATTTTTTTTTAAATTTTTCTTTTAAAAAAAAATTGCTATCATTTCTGTGATAATATTTTTTTCTTTTCATTTTTTGTTAAAATTTATTTTAAATGAACATGATACGAAAGAAGTTAGTTTCTTTTTTTTTCTTTATTTGTTGCACGATTTTTCCATGAGGGAGAGAGATTATTTGATATTGCGTTAAATGAGAATTTGCTTTGCCTTGAAACAAGATGCTTGCATATATAAAAGCTTTAAAATCAGAGTCAGTCGGGTATCTACGTAAATATAAGTCATGAGTTTACTTCTAGATCGCGATTAAGGTATACACTTCGCCATTCTTTATGTCACGCAGGAAAACTTGAGAATTACGGAGAAAACTCTCTTTCTCTCTCTCAAAAAAAAAAAAATTGACTTTTCAGTTACTTTACTTCACTTACACATGTGTAATTACTTTGAAAAATTAATTTACAAGAAAACATTTTTTTTTATAAATTTTTCTGTCACGAAATGAACAGAATAAATATTAAGAATAATATTTAAAGTGAAAGTAAGATTTATGATTAATAGAAGAAAATGTAAAATTATGAATATGAACAAAAATAAAATATATATTTTTTTGATCCTCTTCGGTTTTTTTTTTTTTTTTTTTTTTTTTTTGAAGAAAATTTTAAATAATTTTAAATATAATGTTTAGAGTAAAAGTATGTTTTATAAGTATAAGAAAATGTAAAATTATTAATAAATATGAACAAAAATAAAAAAATATATTTTTTACCCGCCTTGGTTTTTTTTTTTTTTTTTTTTTTTTTTTTGAAGAAAATTTTATTTGCTTTGAAATATTTGCTGAATAAATCATAAGTTATTGAGAAGAGTAAAAAAGAATGCGAAGAATAAAAGTCTTTGAAAGAAGGTTTTGAAAAGAAAAACTGATTTAAAAGTTTCATTCATCGATCAAACTTTTTTCCATTGATTTTCAATTAATCTTTTTCCATTATATTTATTGGCTAATTATTTTCCGCTTTTAAAAATGATAACGTCTTTATATGATTTTATATTTTTAATACTCATTTCAATTTTATTACATTTACTTATTTAATTATTATTTTTATCTTTATTATTTTTTCTCTTTTACTTATTATTTATTTCCTTTATTATTTGTATTTTTAAAAGTTTGCATTTTTAAATCTTTCATAAATTTCTCTTTTATTATTTTTTAATATATTTCTCTTTCTCTTTGTGCTATTTTATTTTTTTTATTATTTTTTTTATTATTATTACTACATTTTTGTATTTAAAAAATTTTTTTTTCTACTTTAGTATTTCACATTTTAAACTTTATATCGTACATCATTTTTTATTTAATTTTTTTTTTACATTTATTATTTGTGTTTATTAAAAATCATTGAATTTCGTTTTTATAATTTTAATATTTGTGTATTTATTCATATTTTATTTTATTTTTGTTATTTTTTACATTTATTGTTTTTTAAATTGTTTTTTATTTATTTTTTATTATTATTATTATTACAAGTGTAAATAAAAATGTTTTTCCTACTTTTATTTAAAATTTTTTTTTTTTTATTCGTTTATATATTTTTTTTACATTTTTATTTTTAATTTCCTTTCTTTTGTACATTATTGAGAGTGGAAAAAAAATTTCACTTTACTTAAGTTAAAACTTTTTGCAATTTATTTTCTTTTTCTCAAAAATGAACAACTAATTTTCCCAATTAGTTCAAATTTTCTTGATCTGTTTATTAAAAAAAACATTAGATTTTTCTCCTCTCAAAGGAAGAAAAACAAATCGATTTTCACAGATTCATGCAAGCAAAGGTATCGTATTAAAAATCAAATTTCTTTACATTCTCTATATCAGAACATCTCTTTGATAAATTCTTATGAATTCTTGTTCGTCTTTAGAGAAAAACAATTTTTTCTCTTTCATTTTTTATTCAAACATATAAAAAAAATATTCTGGTAATAAATTAATTCAATAAGAAAATATAAAATAGAACATAAAATTGTAAAAAAATATAAGCTGCAAAAAATAATATTTTTATTTAAATAAATTATAAATTTATTATTAAATATACACAATAAAATTACACAAGCTACGCCCCTGTCTATGCATTTATACCGCGCATGATCGAGAGCTACGCTCTACCACTCTTGCTCAGTACAATCTTGTTATCCAACTCGTTCACATCGATCTCCAATAAATTGTCTAATTCTCAATCCCGTAGTATTTCAATATCGACCTTAACCTCTGAATCCAACAGGTTATGGGCCCAGAATAACGCGTACTATTAACATAATCGAAAGTAAAATAATTCGCGGAAAATACGGTAGTTTTTCGTTCGAGGGGAAGCGTGACTCTGTGTGAAATTCGGAATCATGAGCTCCACGCACTCGGTACGTATCGAAGCGCTAGGGAAGGACAATTTCGATACATGGAAACTCCAAGTACGAGCACTGCTCGTGAAAAACGACACTTGGGAGTACGTAAATGGAACAAAAAAGAAACCGGAAATCGTAGAAGGAAACGAAGCGTCGGCGGTGGCCGCACGTGCTTGGGACGCTGCGGACATGAAAGC